ACCCCCAGACAGACCCTCGGGACTCCCACGCCTATCCAACTGCTCCCCACCCCCTGACAGGACCCCCAGAATTCCTGACCCATACAACCCCCCTGCTCCCTGCCTCCCCCATCCGCTCTCCACACCCCTGCCTCCTGACAGCCCCCCCCCAGAACTCCTGACTCATCCAACCCCCGCAGCTCCTTGTCCCCTGACCACCCCCTCCAGAGACCCCCCACCCTAACTGCCCCCCAGGACCCTCCTTGCTCCCTGTCTCCTGACCCCTATCCACCCCCCGCCCCCTGAGAGACCCCGGGACTCCCATGCCCCATCCAATTCCCCCTGCTCCCTGACTGCCCCTCCAGAGACCCTCCGCCCCTAACCGTCCCGGGATCCCACCCCCTATCCAACCCACCCTGTCCCCTGATTACCCCCATCCCTTATCCAACCCCCCTGGCCCCAGACCCCTTACCATGAGATGAGACTCCTAGCCTCCCCGCGGAGCCAAACACTGCCCCATGGGAGCACGCAGCCCTGGCCCCCAGAGCGCTGCACGTGCGGCAGCATGGCTCCAGGGGAGGGGAGAAGGCAGGGGAGGGGCCGGCGGCTTGCTGCGTTCGGCCGGGTGCTCCGGCCCGGGAGCGCAGATCCCACGGCTTGCTGCGCCAGGGAGTGGAGCCATTTGCCCACCCCTGCATTAGGGTGTGCCTGGGCATAACCGGAACACCCCATGCGCACACCTATGAACTTATAACAGCCCCTGGCCTTCTTTTCAAGGCTTTCTCTCCAAGGCCTCTGTGCTTGGACAGCTTCACAGTCCTATCCCTGCTTAAGCAGGGTTTCTTCCCAGTTTCTGTGTGGAGTGTCCCAGCCAGAGACTGCTCTGTCCAGCTGCTGCAGCTTCCTTGGCTAGCCAGCAACAGCATGTTTCCTCTTCTGGTTCCAGCCAGCAACTGAGCTATGCAGGTCTTGCAACTCCTTTTTATATGAGCCTTCTAGACTCTGACTGGCTTCCTTCCCTGCAGCCTCTCTAGACCAGTTGGAGGACCCCACTCTGTTGCCTTTCTTCTGGGGTGGGGTGTGGTAGGACCGCAGGGCCTTCTGGGGGGCCTCAAAGGACCTGGTATACACCCTCACAATTGGTCAACATGGCACTGAGTGGTGAAATATGGAGTCTCACAAAGATGATAAATATACATGGAAGAAAAAAGTGTAAATGCTTCTTATTTAAACAGTACATATACACAATATCTTCTTTCTATTAAAATGAAGGAAATTTACAAAAAATTCATAATTTACCATTATTGGTTCAGGGGTCGGCAACCTTTCCGAAGTGGTGTGCCGAGGCTTCATTTATTCACTCTAAGTTAAGGTTTCGCGTGCCAGTAATACATTTTAACGTTTTTAGAAGGTCTCTTTCTATAAGTCTATAATATATAACTAAACTATTGTTGTATGGAAAGTAAATTTTTAAAATGTTGAAGAAGCTTCATTTAAAATTAAATTAAAATGCAGAGACCCCCGGACCGGTGGCCAGGACCCGGGCAGTGTGAGTGCCACTGAAAATCAGCTCGCGTGCCGCCTTCGGCATGCATGCCATAGGTTGCCTACCCCTGGATTAGAGCAACCTTAACTAAACTAAAATGTAAGAAAGTAGCAAATACAAAGCTGAGGATTAAAAGGTTTTAAAGATAGAAAGTGCCAGGATGAACATTACCCAAGCAACCTTTAGTTGGAGCCCTTGTGCACATACATTATAAACAGCTTTTAATTACATGATCCCATATTAGTTTTTACACAGGACACCTGGTTCACTCAGTGCACAGGACGGATCTGTTCTGCAGCAGAATCAAGGTTGGAGTAAAGGAATCTGTTGTTTGTAAATCCCCTGGCTCATTTGTTACAGAGTTAAAAGGTTTGTAGTTATGAGATAGGAAGAGAAAGGATGATCTTGTGGTTATGGCAGTTGAATGCCATCCTGGAGACTTGGATTCTATCTCTGCTTCTGACACAGAGTTCCTACATAATGCTGGACAAGTCATGTGCATCAGACTTTTCACAGATATTCACTTTTGCTTGTAATTAAAAGCTGGATTAGAATGCATATGCCAGGAGTCGGCAACCTTTCAGAGTGGTGTGCCGAGTCTTCATTTATTCACTCTAATTTAAGGTTTCGCATGCCAGTAATATATTTTAACGTTTTTAGAAGGGCTCTTTCTATAAGTCTATAATATATAACTAAACTATTGTCATATGTAAAGTAAATAAGGTTTTTAAAATGTTTAAGAAGCTTCATTTAAAATTAAATTAAAATGCAGAGCCCCCCGGACCAGTGGCCAGGAACCGGGCAGTGTGAGTGCCACTGAAAATCAGCTTGCGTGCTACCTTTGTCACGTGTGCCATAGATTGCCTACCCCTGGCATATTCAGAGGGAGGCCGAATTAAGGTTGCCTTGGTGAAGTTCTTTGTGGCATTTCCTAACTTGAGACTGCTTGACTTTGCAACCTTTTAATTAATTTTAATCCTTAATTTCATATTTCCTAAATTTTAATGATTTAATTTATTACTGAGTGCCACTTTAACATTAAATGAAGGGGTTTTGTTTGTAAATAATATATACATAACATAAAGTGAAAACATACAGAAAACCCATAGCATGGGATCCAGTCCCAGTGGATGTGGAATTTTGTCTTCTCCTTTCTGATTACCCTTTTAAAACATTTATTGTATTCCTTCCGAGAGCCCTATTTGACCTGCAGCCCCAGCCAGACCTGCCTATTTACTCCACACTGTATGCCTGTTTGAGATCTATGCAGGGAGCTTGTCCTTTTGTGCTAGAAGCAAGTAGGGCCACAGAAGACAGAAGTATTATGGGGCTGTGAGACTGTTATGTTAATCCACTGTTATGTTTCTGTTTTTTCTCTTATGGAAGCAATTTGAGTTCATCAGACAAACACTAATCCTGGGCATAAAACTAACATATAGAACACACTAGGACTGTGTGAATAATGGATTTTTTGGTTCACTGGTAATTCCAAAATATTGTAAAATATTTCATTTTGGGTTTAACCAATAAACACTCCCCCTTTTTTAAAGATTTGGCAAATCAAAAAGTAAAAAAAAAATATCTTGTGTTGAACAAAATGTTTCATTTTGACAAAATTTGCTGTTTCAATTTCAACCATTTTTGAATATTTTGATTTAAAATAATAAAATTTCATTTTGAAAATGTCAAAACATACCAATACTTTCAGAATTTTGGGGAGGATTATGACTGAATGAATTTGGCAAAACTCACATGAATTCACGAAACATTTCAGTGTCACTGAATCTCCATTTTTCTCCAAAAAAAAAATTCCAGCTGAAAAATTTTACTTAGGTCTACTGCACGCATCTATCTCCCATGTACATGTCTCAGAGCTATTGGGAATATTTTAGATAATTATATGATCACACACTGTGTAGACCTTGCTATATGAAACACAATTACCAGGCTATAGTTTGACAAGCCGTTGGTAGGGCTTTCACCTGGCCATTTACCTTCCCAGAATCAACTACCTCGCTTCTTCTATCCAAGCTAGACTTTATTT